ACAATAGAAAGATTATTACAAAAATACTTTTAAGTTTTCATTCGATTTTTTAATACACAAACATTTTACATGAATTACGAGAACCGAATGAAAAATGAAATTACGAAACAACGCAAATGCAAGACAAAACTATCACTATCAACAAAGCAAACGTCAAGTATCTTTGACAGTTGACAGCAACTTCTGTGCTACCAAGTTATATTTACAAAATCTGCTGTGATTAAATTGGAAAAACCGTTGAATTTCTATTATGTTAATTCATAGAGATATAATGTTAAATTAATCAAAACAAAGTATCACTCAGTATAACGTACTTTCCTAATGTTTTCCAAAAAACAAGAAATCTTCTTTATGCTTTGTTGCAGCACAGAATCATAATAGGTATATGTAGATTAATTATTAATCATAAAGAATTATAATATCACGGGGGATACGGGCACATCTAGAAAATCGACCTGGTGACGCTGAGCAAAAGCAATTTAGCCACTCCTTGAGCAATAGTCACTACCGCATACATTTGGCAGCACTGTCGTCCCGCCACATGCAACCACCATCTTCATGCTACCACATGGAGTGTTGGCGCTAGCAAGGCTGAACAGGTTGTACTATCATTATTAGGGAGGAAAAAGGGGTTTCTTCTGTGATAAATCTAAACATTTTGTCTGACATCACAGACAGTGGGTAGCAAGCAATTTTCACTCGTGTGAAGAGTATAACAATTCATTTAAACAGTATACAAGTTAGGCAATTCCATCAAAATCATTCACATCACAAAAAAGGCTACCTTGAAAGAATTTGTCATGATTCTTTTATTGTGAACTAACCAGCGTTAAATTGTGAAGAACAGTGTTTATGTTGGTTGTTTATTTAAATATACACATATATAAAGTAAGAGTAGAGTACTTCATACAAATATAATTGATAGAATTTAGGCTCAAAAAGTCTTACAAGCCAAGTACGATAAGATCCCCAAACAATTTGTGTTTGATAACAAATATAAGATACAATTAAATGAAACAAACCATCCGGAGGGATTAAATCCAAAAGAGCTTAGAGTTTTCATGGATAGTTCTAAAACAAATGAAGGTGTAGAATCTGGAACATTCTCGGAAGATCACAATATCCATATATATGTACACCGTTGCGTACCCACAAAAGAGTCTTTCAGTTACAATGTATGGGTATCATCCAAGCGGCCATAGCAATAGATGCTAGGAAGGTAAAAGACTTCTCAATCAGAATACCGACCGACAGTACGGTATTACAAGTTCTTAGTTACAATTTGGTGAACTCGGTACTAATACATAAATGCCATTAACGATTAAATGAGGTATGTAAACACAACAATGTGATTCTGCAATGAATCAAGGGACACAGTAGCATGTACGAAACAGACGAACTGGCTAGGAGAGGATCGGCTGTGGCCGTTATATGGCCGAAACCGATCGTACTGATCCCTTTTGGTTACGAACAACTTTACCAATCAACACGCACAGCTTTGGAAAAATCTAGTGGACTGTAAGCAGGCTAGGGAGGCCTTGACAGTAATAAACAGTCGTATACTCGTAACCAAGGTCTTAATGAGATTGAACAAGCCACAGATCAGGTTAGTAACAAGTGTTCTTATAGGCTCCTTTAACATTTATTTACTATAGGCGTTACAGATAGTCCCCTGTGCAGGGCATTTATGGGGGAGGAGAAAACGGCGGCCCACGTGTTGCTGGCATGTCCGGAGGTCGATGCATGCAGGACTAAACTTCTCAGCACGCTGGGATCACTCCTCGAAGTTGCTCGTAACATCAAAGGACTGTTTGAAGTTCTTCGGGGAGATTTCATGGCTCGAATAATTCATAATATTTCTGCCCACACGTCAAATACGCACCAAGACGAGGAGTTGCGAAAAACAGCAATGAATGATAAGATGGATGAAGTATGCGATATGATGTATGATAGAGGAATAGATGTATTATGTGTAAATGAGACGAAGCGGAAGGAAAAGGATGTCACTACACATGGCATATATACCGCGTACTGTTTCGCTGTAGACGAGACCGAGCGAGCATGCCAGGGAAGTCGGTATCATTCTTTCAGAAAAAATGGGTTAATGTGTGAAAGAATATGAATGTGTAAGCCCGAGACTGCTATGGATACGAATAAAAGTAGGCCTAAAGAAGTTGTTTGTTCTAGGGGTCTACGCCCCAGACATGTCTAAGCCCACTTATATCCGAGAGCAGTTTTGGGAGATGGTAAGGATGGTGTTAATGAAATGTAAGGAAAATGAAAATATTGTTATGTTAGGAGATTTTAATGGAAGGGTTGGGGTGAGGAGGCTTGGCTATGAAAGGATACTGGGAACGTTTGGTGATGAAAGTATTAATGAGAATGGTGAAAGCCTCCTCACCGTATGTGTGGAAAGGAATCTTTTTGTGACGTACACTTTCTTTCGTCATAAGAAGATTCACATGTATACTTGGGAAAGAGGTGATGATAGAAGCATGATAGATTTCATAAATGTGGATGAAAGAATGAGGAGCGCAGTGGTGGATACAAGGGTTTACCGGGGGTCCAGTGTAGGGACGGACCACTACCTGGTCTTATGCCGAATTAGGGGTTTATTCAGACGTTGGCGGCATCGGACATCTGTATCTACCACTGCGTTACAGCGTATAAGAATTGAGAGGTTACAAGATGAAGATGTGAGAAAATATAAGTGATTTGGATGAGTTGTGTGTGAATGAGTTAGACTTGGAGAATGTGTGGCATAATGTTAAGAAAGGTTTAGTGGATGCAGCTACCGAAGTATGTAGTGTTAGTAAGAGAACGAATGAAAGAAAAGACAATACGTTATGGTGAGATGATGAGGTACGTATGGAAGTTGAAGCAAAGAAGAGAGCATGGCTAGATTTACTAGCGACCAAAGCTGGTAATTCTGGCGGTAAGAATGATGAGATTGAAAGAAAAAAGGCAGAGTAAAACGTCTAAATAAGAGAGTAAAAGAATTAGTTGAAAGGAAAAAGCAAGAAAGAACGGATAAGAATAATAGAAGAATATCGGATAACTTCCAGACAAATATTAAAATGTTCTGTAAAAAAAACTCATAAGAAATACCAGGGGACATTCAAAACAGCCTAGATTGAATGCGATACGAGACGAGAATGGCTGTATTCTGAATCAAGAAGTGTTGAGTCTAAAGAGATGGAAGGAATATTTTGAGTTTTTATGAGTGAGGAGACGTGTGAACTAAATGAAATAGAAATTCCGAAAGAAGATGAAAGAGATAGGGAGATAAGTGATGAAATAATGAAAGCAATGAAAAGCATGAAAGTAGGAAAGGCAGCCGGATATGATAAGTTTCACTCGAAATGCTAAGGGCTGGAGAGGACGTGGTGGCAGGCCTGCTGTACACCTTGTTTAATTTATGTTGAGAACTAATGCGGGTACCGGGAGACTGGTGCAAAGACGTGATAGTCCCAATATATAAGGGAAAAGGGTCACAGCAGGACTGTAAAATGGTGGTATCAGCCTTCTTAGCATTGTGGGAAAACTGTATGCTAAGGTAATATTTGAAAGAGTTATGAAAGAAACTGATGAAAAAATTTGGGATGTGCAAGCGGGATTTAGAAACGGAATGGGGTGTACAGATCAAGTATTTTCCATGCGCATGATCGCGGAGAAGTTTTTGGCGAAAAACCAAAAAGTTTTTTGTGCGTTCATGGACTTGGAAAAGATTTATGACAGAGCGGACAGGGATGTGTTATGGCAAACGCTGAACGCATTTAGGTTGAGCGCTGGTTTAGTGATACAGGCATTAAAGTCTCTATATAGGGACTCGAGTGCATGTGTTAGAATCAACGGGGTCTACTCGGACTGGTTTGGCATCCATAAAGGCGTTAGACAGGGCTGTGTAGCTTCCCCGTGGCTGTTCAACCTATTTATGGACAGTTGTTTGGAAAATTTGAAAGTTGAAGAATGCGGGTTAAGAATGGGTGAGTTAACCATCAAATGCCTTTTGTACGCCGATGATCAAGTCATACTTGCGTCGTCGGCGGCCGAGTTGCAAAAGATGGTTACATTAATGAACAGGTCATTAAAAGAAAGGGGAATGAAAGTGAACGCAAGTAAGACGAAAGTGATGGTTTCTTGAATAGAAGGAGAGTTAATTGAGCAAGTGGATGAGTTCGTATATTTGGGATGTGTATTCAGCAGGGATGGGAGATATGATAAGGATATTGAACGACGAGTGAATGCAGGAAATAAAGTAAATGGGGCTCTACACTCTTGTGAAAAGTCAGAATGTGTCAAAAAGGCACGTATGGCAATCCACAAAGCTGTATTAGTCCCTACTTTAACACATGGTAGTGAAAGTTGGGTGTGGCAGAAGAAGCACGAGAGCAGAATAAATGCAGTAGAAATGCGGTCGCTAAGGAGTATGTTAGGGCTGAATCTGAGTGACAGGGTGGGAAACTGTGTGATAAAAGAAGAGTGTGGCTTGCAAGATGATGCAGTGACCAGGATTAAGAAAGGAATGCTTCGGTGGTTTGGTCATGTAGAAAGAATGAATGCGGAAAGACTGACAAAGCAAATATATGTTGCAGAAGTGAATATAAGAGTCGGAAAGGGACGTCCTAGGTGGAAGTTTGTTGACCAAATTGGCGATATACTAAAAATGGGCCAAATTAAGAGTACCCTTAACCGACGAGCATGTATGCGTAGGTATATGGATGTGGAAGAGGCGAGAGAGGTATGTCAGGATCGTGCTAAATGGAAGTCTTTAGTCTCTGCCTACCCCTCTGAGTGACAGGCGTGAGTGTTTATGTATATGTATGTATCATACACATAAATCTAATAATTTTGATATAATAAGTGTCACGGGTCTAGAATAGCATATCATGGGTACATAGATTTTAAAATGTAAATCATTTATGCTCATAATATGAAAAATTATTTGTGAAAAATAAATAATTGATTTGCTTTTTATTAATTATATTTCTAACGAAATTATGGATATGGAAAACCTGGAATACTACGACAACATTAACAATACGTGTACAGAGTTAAACCTTGCAGATCACTGGAAAAATTATAATACCTTAGAACAGGCAGTTTCTAGAGGTGGATTACTTCGTCACAAAAAATCAAGACGAAATACATATGATTATTTTAATGACAAATTAAATATAGATTTAAATGAACCATCGACTTCTAAACCAAGAAAATTTAATCAAAGTTACGGGTAAAACGCTATTTCATTTGTTGCACAATGTAATTGTTTTCTCAGTGAGTTCATTTTTATTAAATAAATACTAAGGTGGTGCCGCTTGGTGGCGTAAAAGTTCTGTATCTTGCTAGAACTTAAAGAAATACCAAAATATGATGTGAAACACACCAGACTAAATTGTGAAGCATAGTAACACATAACGGTAGCAAAGTAAAGCATAGTCCAGGGCGGAGGCGCTCTAATATTGCTCTTTTTAGTCTGTTAAAGAGCAGTTACTAATGCCAGAAAAATCTTATGACTTTCAATATATTTCTGTATAACAAACTCTTTTACACATATGCATATTAAAACTGATGGCGAGACCGTTGTTGACCAGGAAGTTTATGTTTTAAGTTCTCATACTACATGTTTGCGAAAGTATTGTTTGATTTCAGAAGGACACCACCTTGCAAGTCTAGAAAGATACGGCGAAAAAAATCGCCAAAAAGATGTCCAATTAGGATTGCCGAATTAGCTGTACCAACAAAACGACGATGTATAGAGACGTGGAGATATAAATCTGGAGTCTTGCCACATTTTATGGTAAATAGATTATTTAATAATCTATAAATAATAAATATATATGCTAATATTTTACTAAGTTTTTACATTTGAATATTTGTTTATTTTCACGAATTACTTCTAGATAACGACATATCTAACGTTTTCTATTAGTTTGATATTCGTGACTGTTATGACAACCTTAGGCAAGAATTTCTGAAAACTGTCGTATCTGTATCGTACTTTTCACTGTTGTTGTTATTTAATAGTTTTTCAAAGTCGATTATTTTCTATTTCACTGTTCATTTTGTGTATGAAAAATAAGTGTCATAATTAATAATACGGGGTTGTACCAAAAGTAAGGTTCCAAATGAGCTACAGTCTCGAGTTAAAGTGGACAGTGCCGTGCGCAGTAGTTCTCCCACTCTCGAGCCCGATTCGCTATGTCGCAAAGCGTTTGCTTGGCATTGGAAGCCGTAAAGCCGATATTACACGGTTCAATCAAATTGAAACAATTCCATTGAAAACATTGGATATTGCACATTAAACGACTTTACCAATATACACGTATATCATTTAAATGACATTCAATGTTCACAACGCATTGCGATGTCGCGCTAACTCGTACGTGCGGGAATTTTAATCTGCGACTATTTAATAATAGAGTTAAATAAAAAAAAATCTCGGCGTTGGTGGGTGCGCCCGTGGATTTCGAGAAGGATAATTAGGAGAAGATTAGAAGGAGATTAAAGGAGCCTCAAACACCTCATTTTCGAAATAAATACAGCGAAATAGGTGCGCGTGCGTACGCTTCGCTATCGTGCGGCGCGCTGAATGAGTCGCTGTTCAATCTTCATGTATATTGTACTTATACACGTTTCAACCGCATTAAACAATGACCAATATTGCCACAATTGATTGCATTAAAAGGGTTCGGCGAATCTTAGTTTTCAATGAGATTGCGCAATCGCATTGAAATGTATTTAGATGTATCAATGCCATTGAAGCAATTAAATTGAAAGCAGTATTGAACCGTGTAATATCGATCGGCTTAAGAGTTGGAAGTGTTGACCGCCGCTCCCGCCAAGTGCAAGGTTCGAGCAGTAGTCCGGTTTCTCCACGTAAGATGAAACGTGGGTATTTCATTACACCCCCGAAACAAATTAACAATCTCGTTAGTGGCGTTACTCTGGTTCACCACCATTAAAGAAATTCAAACAAGCGCAGTCGGCAGGAAAGGTTATGGCGACTGTGTTTTGGGATTGAAAGGGGGTACTCCTCATCGATTTCATGCAACCTGGGACGACAATAAACTTAGACAGATATTGTGAAACCTTGACCAAACTCCGACGAGCAATCCAGAATCTCTGGAGAGGACGACTGACGGAAGGAGTAGTGCTTCTTCATGACAACGCTCGACCCCATGTCATTCGTGAAACGTACAGCCCGGACTTAGCCCCCAGCGATTATCACCTCTTCCCCAAGCTAGAGAACATATAGGTGGCAAACGAGCAATTACGTCGTATTATCACTACCACAAACCCGATTCGCTGTATTGACAGACTGCGAATTAAAACAACTTTTAATTAATGTTTTTGACGATGAGAAGTGCTAGAGTGCCACAAAAAGAGAAAAAAGAGCCGTGGTAACTCAGATGGTTAGCGCTCGCTGTAAATTTCACAGTACGCGAGCAACTCGGGTTCGACCCCCGACGGCACCAATGAAATTGTTAATTGCAATTTTAAAGTGCTGATTTACCACGTGCTCGGCGGTAAAGGAAAATATCCTGAGGAATCCTGCATGTCTAAGAAATAAGAATAAAAATATTTCGAAGACGTTAAGTTTGCCAACACGCATTGGGGCAGCACAGCGGACACTTACTTGCCCTAAATCCGTCTCAGAAATGAGAGAAAGCCTGTGTCCTGCAGTGGGGCCTATATAGGCTGTAACTTTAACCTTACTACAAGAACTATGCGCAAATGGGAAAATGTTAAAAAAATTCAATATCTATTAATTTTAGAAAAAAAGGTATCATCTTACCCTTTAACACCATAGAATACTATAATACATATTTAAAACTCATAATCATAATTTAATAAGTGAAAAAAGGACCGATTTTTCAAAAAGACATATTATTACCTAGAAAATTAAGACCGTGCTCCGATATAAACTGTGACCACTATATGGTGTGATGTTCATTCAGGATACTGGTTACTGTTTAAAACGGAACGCAGTCCAGAATACTGTCATCCATCTCCATTTTTCGTTGTTTTCAAATAAAAGTATTTATCAAATTTTTCTGTTCAACAAGAAAAATATTATTTGAATGTTGTTGCTTTTAAAATTTAATGTCTGAGTTTATTTGAACAACAATATCAATTAATAATAATAACAATCATTCGTGGACGCTGTTAAATCGATAGCTCAGTGATAATATAACAGCGTCCAGCGACGCTAGGCGGTTATGTTTTTTGATCCCGTGATCAAAGTACTGAGAGCACCTCACATGGAAATTCCTGTATAGACAGTTACTATAGTATCAATGCCTTTTTTATAAAGGGAAATGCCTACGCATAATGCCTCGCGGGGGCAAGGACGGGTTATGTCGGACTCGTACCGACTAAAACCCCATATTGGCAGGACCACGGGAAAGCTTTCGCACACATCCGCGGCCCCTCAAGCGCTGGCCATTCCATGGCGGCCCCTTCTCGGGAGAGGACTACTCCTCCCCCCTTCTCCTTCTTAGGTAAGGCGCACCAGAACACACAGTGCGGCCTTTATTTTCATGTGCGCAACAGACGCCCCCGTGTCCGATGCGCGAATGCCATGGGACCAGGAAAAACGAGCACTCAGAAGCACTAGCCTTCCTGACCCCAGCAGCGGATCTGGTCTATGGCTCCACCGCCAACCAAGATTCGGCTTCGGAGGATAGGGAGAGCGGCGCCTCGCAATTCCGACACTCCTCTCCCCCCGCAGCCCCACCGCCACCGCATCAATTAACGGTGTGGCCCCGTCAGAGTAGCGGAGGATAGGGCAAGTGGCGCAACGTCATACCAGCACTCCTCTTCCTCCGCGACTCCACCTCGACTGCAGCAGTAGGGGAGAGGGCACCCCTCTCGCCGCAGCCCACCGACACATCTGATGTGGCCTCCTCAAACCGGCCCTACAACTCGGGCCAGCCATAAGGGTTCCTATTAGTACACCGCGGGTGACCAAGCCATGGCTACTAGGCCCCCCCGCCACGACAAGGCGGGAACCCGTTCGGGGGGGGGGGGATAGTACCAATGCCTACGCATACCCGCCTCACGTGGGCTAAGACGGGCTATGTCGGACGGACTCGCATCAACTTCATAGTGCACCTTCGTCGCATATAGACAAGGAAATGTTGTCGCACACATCCGTGACCCCACCTACGGCGGTTATCCTATGGCGTAACTTCTCCCCTTTTTACTTGACAGTTTCTGCGAACTTTTCATTTATACCATTAACTGTATGGCAATCTTCTAGGCATTGAAAACGATTTCGTAATTCGGGCTGACTGTTTTGGAGTTTTTAATGTAAGTACGCGGGGTAGTGACGTTGAAGGCGTTGACTTCACCAACGCCCAATGCGTTGACTTCGTTAGACATACCTTCCTCAACTAAACGTTCCCTATATAAAAAAGTACTCTGTGACTAAACGTTAAAGTTCCGTGTGCCTCTCACCATTCATTTATTGTTACCAGTTTTTAATCTCACGATCATTTTTATTCAACCGTTTTGTGATTTTGAGGATACAGTTCGCAACCCTTGTGGACATTCGAGGTCAGGAGGATTATTGGATGATAAATCCGACATATCTTTGGGCAAATGATCGTCCTTTCGTAGATAGAACAAGTTGCTGCGTTCGAAAGTTACTGTGTTTTCTCGCTCCCCTTGGACCTCAGATAATGCTATAATATTACAGATGTCAAAACGAATTAGCTAAGATCCGCATAATAAAATGATGTTTCTTATCTAGTTTGAAGAGCGCCTCCCGTTTTTAACATGTTTAATATGATGGATTTCCGCAACGCCTGATTCTATAAATACTATAATCCAACTACAGTTCCCTCTTACTAGTCCTCCTAGACCATGCTTAAATGTTGCCAGGTGTAATCGTTTAAACTTGCACCCCAAAACACGGTAACTTTACTATGTCTATATAGTTACTTTACAATATAGTTGATATTTATACGTTTGTGAGCCGGACCGTAAATTTCTGCGAGCATCAATATTTTACACACAGCGAACGCTGCTGTACTTCGACAATTATTATTAATTGTAAGTAAATTATAAAAAAATGTAAGATATGAACTCATTAAACTAACATTTATAATCTTTTACATTTTAAGAAGCACTTTAAATATATACTTTTTAAATTATAATTGTCCATTACCGAACACGAGCACTAAGATCCCCACAAATTTATATCCAACACGTGACAGAGCTTTGGGAACTACCTTTAAGTATACAAGAAACCTTTAGCATGTTTCTATATTCTACCAGACTTGATGTGATCAAATTTCTAATCCTGTTTCAGGTAGATAGACTCAAACAGCGGGTTATGGATGAAAGCCCAGTAGTGCATATAAACGAAGCAATAAATTGCTTTAAAAGGAAGAAAAAAAGGACAAAAAAGAGGCAAGTTAATATTTTATAACAAATACCCTGTCCGATCTGTGAGCGTGCTTTTATGTATCGTGATATTGTTCTGGTTCATGTAATCATTTTAATTTCTGGTCCATGTAAGTAAAAAATTACCCCGCAATTTTTTTTAAATGAGGAAACTTTTTCTAGGTGGTACAACTTCTTATCCGTCTACGAGTTTGTTTAAGTTACCACCCGTAGCCTTTTTAGCCCCCAAGTAACTATGGATGAACTGATGTGTTCCCGTCTCAGTCCTCAGAGGTGACAACGCATCTGTAGGCTTCTTTGTCTGAAGTTGGTTGCAGGAGTCCATGGACTGCGGTAGCTACATGCCATCAAGTGAAATACAAGTTCATTTGTCAGTTAAGTTCTAATGGAAATAAACTTCCGTGCGATGGGGGGCGGCCGTCGGATGACAATATACGTTAAACGATACCGTCGCCGACGATAGTGTAGCCAAATTTTATTCAAATTGTAATAATAAAACATATTTTTTTTAAACAATAACTTTGATGGATTTTTTTTTGGGTAATGGCATTGCGGTACCCATGTGCCCTTTTTTTGATCGGCCTGGGTTTTTGTTAGGTAATGTATCCTAAACGTTTAATGTCAATTGTAGTGATATAACATTCGGATTAGAATTTACTGAAAAATTTATTACTTAAATTTCTACAGGATTTTTAAAGATTTGAAGAATATTTCTTTTGATTGGTTTGTCGTTCTACTTTCGTTATTATTTTATCACAGCCGCATCCTTTAAAAAGGGAATTCCCTCCTGGGTTGCGGTACGGGATAAATAGATTTAAGTTTGTATCCAACCCAGATCCCAGAAGTGTTTCCAGACAGAAAAAGAGATCTTGTAAAGCCCAGTGAGTTAGTAGCATAGTAAGGGACGCCCAAGATAGAAGTTTATTCACCAAACTGGCGATATATTATAGATAGGCCAAGTTAAGTGTACCCTTAACCTTAATACAGTATTAGTAGTAACTAGATAAAATACGATAGAAAAGAAAGAAGCGAGAGACGTGTGTCAGGATCGTGACAAATGGACTTCCATTTGTTAATGTAACCCCAGTTAAACTACGTCTCGACTCTTCTGGGTGACAGGCGCGAGCTTATACTCGTAACATATTGTACGACCAGTCGGCAACATACAATATAAACAAAAACCTTACACAAAAATAGTAGTTAGTAAATAATTACCACAACATATGTAAAAATTGTAGTACTCGAAATCGACCTTTACGATAAGAAGATTACTAAAGTTAGGCACTTGTCAAACATAAATATGTGTGCGTAAAAACAGTACAATCCAGACTTAACCGTATTATATCAATAAGAAAAATAAAACAACATAGGGAAATAATAATTTGTTACACTTTGCTCAAATTTAGATTTTATTTATAGGTCTCATAAAAAACCACATACGGTAGTAGAAAATGATCGAATGAGAGAAATACGTATATTATGTGCTATATTCGGGTACAAAATTTTTTTGAAGCTACTACGACCGTTAAACATATCATTAAATCCACGGTGAGTGTTATTATTTTAATGTTGGTATAAAAACATTGGGTAAGACAGATTTTTATTTTTTCTTCACTTTCTAATCGTACGGATCCTGTTGTGTCAGACTGCCAGTTTTAAATCACAGGACCTTTTTTCATAGTGTAAGGGTGGCAAACGAGCACACAGTTCACCTGATGGTAAGTGGTTGCTGTGGCCCATAGACATCTACATCTACGAGGGTGGATTGAAAAGTACTCGGCCTAACCAAGAAAATAAACACATACTAAATCAGTTATATTTTTATTTTTCTACATAATCACCATCAAGTTCAATACACTTTTGCCACCTCCCCTTCCAAGCATTTAGACCGTTGAAAAAAAATGATTCTTCCTTAGAGTCAAAATATGCGTCTACAGCTGCTTTGACGTCGTCGTTTGTCGAAAATCTTTGACCTCCCAAGTGCTTTTTTAGGTTAGGGAACAGAAAGAAAGCCACAGTTGTGAATTTCAGCCATTGACTGTAGTGACGTGTGAACACGGGCGTTATCTTGATGAAACAGGACTTTTCTTCTGAGCATTCCTCGACGTTTTTCTTTTATTTCCTCTCGTAAACGACGTAGTAAGGTGCAGTAGTAATCAGAGTTTATAGTCTGACCCCTTTCAAGATAATCAATCATAATCACACCTTTCGAGTCCCAGAATACTGAAGCCATCACCTTATTTGCCGACAAAATCGACTTAGCCTTTTTAGGGGGTGGTGAACCAGGTCTTCTCCACTGTTTTGATTGTTGTTTTGTTTCCGGTGTACAGTAATGAACCCATGTTTCGTCCATAGTAACAAAACGATTCAAAAAATCATCTGCATCGGCTTCAAATAACTCCAAACAGTCGCGTGAAATAGCCAATCGCGTCCTTTTTTGTTCAACTGAAAGCAGTCGCGGAACCCACCTCGCAGACACCTTGTGGAAACCCAACTCGTTGACAATGATGTTTTGAGTTCGTTCATAAGAGATGCCTATAATCTCGGCTATCTCTCTAATTTTTAATCTGTGGTCTCCCATTATTAAATCTAGTACTTTTTTAACATTTTCGTCAGTAGTTGACGTCGCAGGCCTTCCAGAGCGGGGTTCATCTTTCACACTCTCTCTACCACGCTTAAATTCTGCTATCCATTTTTTGACGGATGAATATGACAGAGCACAATCGCCTAATGTACTGACCATGTCATCATGGATGGCTTTTGATGATAGCCCCTTCTTATGGAGGTACTTAATGACGGCACGCTGCTCGATTTGCTCCATTCGCGGAAATTATGTCCGATTACTTTGTTAATAAATTTATAAAATCACAACTAATTATCGCACACGTTTCGAACTTCACACAACGAACTAGTCTGAACTGAACTAAATAATGTGGGTAGATTTGATTTTTAGAATTGAATGGATCTGTGTTAGGCCGAGTACTTTTCAATCCACCTAGGTATCCTCGATAACGAATCAAAATGCAGATGCGTTGTCACCCGTGAGGACTAAGATGGAATGCCTCGTTCCCAGTATAAAGGGTCTCCGGTTGTCTACACTCACCAAATGAAATACAGCAGTGTTGAGCTTCTATTTGACGCTGGTATTTTGTGAGAGCGTGGTCCTTCCCCGGTCGATCCAACCCATTCGTGCTACTACTATACCAGTTATGTAGCTCCAGCATGGTTCTATCACATACCTTATTCGGTTCTCCAAACAATTTACACCGCTTTGATATTACGCAGTTCTTTAACTATATAAGGCATTGCTTGACCTAACGGGAAGTGTTAATGCAACCGAGGATGGTAAAGCGCACTTAGTTTAACAAAAGCACTTTTTCCTGATAGAAAGACACCCACATTATAATTGAATAGAAAGATAGATGCTGGCCATTGATCGATATCAATGTAGATATACTTTGTATATCAATGATGCTGGCAAATCATTCTACTCCTTTACTGAATGGCGAAGCAATCTGTTATAATTCGAATGCGTGGTATGAAATGTGACAATGCGACTGATTTATTTGTGATGTGATTTTAGTTTGGAAAGAATAAATAATATGGTTAAGGAAGAAATACATGAAGTACTAAAATGTAAGAATATTTCGAAACAAAAACAGGACAAAAATAAAGAGCATCTTTACGAAATTGCGCGTAAGGTAAATTACCTACATAAAAGTTTCCTATTAGTTTGTCACAAGGAGTTTAAGCTTAGTTTACATAGAATACTATACTACATACATAATAGAACAGGAGAGTGGGCGGAGCCCGTGTAGCCACTAAAATGTCACTAACATGTCAATTCACACGCATAAATGTCAACACGAGATGAGTTTTGATGTAACAATCATTTCCAAATTTCGCATGCAAATTATTTAGAAAATACCAAATTGCACACTATTTACATATAAATATGTATTAAAATTCGATTTTTTAAAGAGATTTTGTACATTAATCAAAAATCTAAAATGTGTAAATTTACTCAGTCTGTCAAAACAGCAATTCGGGTTTGTAGTAGTTATAATACGACGTAATTGCTTGTATGTGTGCTCCCGGCGACGCCGAATCTCGTACAAAATAAGTTTGACAGCCATTCTATTGTGTATTATAGTTTATGCTAGTTTAGCTTACTTCAAAACATTAGAAGGCTGTTTGATTTTGTTTTTTTTTTTTAGGTTTATATTACGCGATATCTTCGCCAATTTAGAACCGATATTAATTATTCTTTTTTTAATTAGTTCGTAATTAATAGGTATTTTGACGAATTTGATAAGTAAAAACCAATCCAAGCGTGGGAGAAATAACGCATGAGTTTTTCAACTCAACAGTTTTCTAGTTATTACCTTGAGCTATTCTTAGTTCATTCAAAAGGGCCGAAAAGTTTAACTTTTGGTAAAAAGTAAAAAATCGACTTCAAGGTATTAGAAATTATAAAATCCTTGCTTTCAAGAATCTTGCCATGACATAGTGTATTAAAGCCCCACATTTCAGAAGCTATCGAACTTGTAGGTCCCCTTAATCGATCCTCTTGTGCCACCGTACCTTATAGAACGTTTTCTACTTTAAACTCCTCAATAATCTTTTCCTTCGGTTTAGAGAAAACCTTTCGTTTCTATGTTCCTTGCACTCCTCTACTTTTTACAAAAATAATCTTAATTCTTGATGTCAGGTCGTGGAAGCCTTTACAGTCTACAAAATTCCATTGCTGAACGCAGGCCTTCAGGTTTAAAAAATGCTGCGGTTGCTTAATTGCAGTTTTTTATTACTCGTATTCTGAGTTGTTATCAGTAATATCCTGTTTCATTTCCCCTCTGTCGCCTCTTACGTCATCATCGGAACGATATGGGGTAGTGGATATTTTTACACCGCCACAACCCGGTTTACATTAATGTAAAACATTGTTGTATGTAAAATGTCAATCCAATCTTTCTTATCTTTTAACATCAAATCTCCTGATTTTTTAAATTAAATAACAACAAAGATTAATGAATCAGTCTTCTTTATGGGAGAGGCGTCAGGGGTCGTACGACATAACTAGCTCGAGTTAGTGCGGTGCGGGGTCAGTCGGGAATCGCGGGAACAATGGCAGCGCTTGCTCACCTGACCGATCGCGTGTGTAAAATGAAAAAGCCTAACAAAATTTGGACAGGCCGGACACTGACTAATTTGGTTAGACACGCATTCAAAAAATCTAACTAATATGCCGGGGCCGTATCTGCGTCTATCGCCACAAAGCGACACGAGATATACAGATGTGACCAGCTACTATCAGCTATCGTCGGGAACATTCGGGCTGCATGTGCGCGGGTGGCGGTACATCAAAGGGTTTTAGCGCATCAACATATCTGCCTGGTCAGACTATCGTTGTTCATTTCGGCCGTTGTTTTCGATCAGTTCAGACACATGCAGGTGGCTGTGTAAAAATGGAGTGGATTGATGAAATAGTATTAGCATTATGTAATAGTATGTAATAGTATTACACATCATGTAGAAGTAAAGAAATTCGTCGTCCATAGTTAAATGTTTGAAAATGATTTCGGCCATCTTGGTTCTTGGATTATTGCGCGATAGTTCATGCAAAATATCGAAGCCGCTAATATGACCACAGCTTTTATCGCGATAACTTTTTAGTGTCAAAATGTACGAAGCTTCGGCACGATATACGCAGGCGCGGTCGAAGCATTATGATGGTAGATCGGAGGTGTTAGTTTCACTATTTCTGTTAAATGTCTTGTGTTTTACAGCCTACACTTGATCCTTTATCATCTGACACACCCAAATTCAATTACTACCGCTATCTGTAACTAGGATAGAAGAATATCATAAGTACTTTAACTTCAATTTAATTTATAGATAACATTATGGGCTGTGAATATATTAGAGGAAACGGATAACAAGCTGTTAGAAGAGGAGCTCAGGGGTAATATATTTTAAATTTCTCTGACAATAGACAATGATCAAGTCTTGTTTATTATCTATGATATAATCGGGTTGCGGCATTGCTGAAAACTAACGCTGGGTTTTCAGCAGGATTTTTACTTGCCGATGTCTTTACAGTCAATCAAAGTCCTCTGCTGAAAATCGTCTCCAAAGATTGCCTCATAAGGGGGATATTTGTCACGATTGCTACGCTTAGGAGGCGAGTAGGCAGCCACTGATTTTTTTCTACTTGTTATTCGGAAGACAGTGCTGCTCTTCTCCTGGTTTCTTCCTGGTTCACGGGGTAAATGGGGTACAACCTAAGTTTAGTAATTAAAATTATATGTAATTTGCAGAGCTAGAAGAAGAAGAAGGACCGGTTTTAGATTTAATTGATAACTTAATCGAAAGAGCTATGGTGAGTTAATTAATATTATAATAATAAATTTTAATTGTTTAAAAAAATTGGAAGTCGATGTTGCTAAGATTTTTTTTTATTTTAGAATATTTGTGAGTTGCGTTATTATGAAACTACTAATAATGCGGATGAAAAAACTGAGTCAGGGCAAATAACATCATCAGTCAAAATCAGTAAAGAGACAGTCGCTGATCCCACTGAGGATAGTAAAATAGTATCGAGGAAGGATGAAGATTATCTCGATAAATTTGAAGGAGCTTTAGAAGAAAATTATGAAAATGCGTTAAATTTTACGAAAGGGACGTCCGAATCTATAAATCAAAATGAAGATTTCTTGCTAACAAATTATATATATGAAGATTATGATCGTCAATACATATCAGAACATTTTAAGACAGAAGTGCAAACAATAATAGACGAAATATTAAGTAGTGCGATTGCCTTGAAAGTTGAACTGGAAAGGAAAGAAAGTGGAAATAGTCAGATTGGATTAACCTATGTTACTGAGACCAATACAGGTTTAGACAAAGTAATACGTGATGAAGACAGTTATACAATGCAAGATGTCAATAACAAAAAGTCTCCTGAATTGGAATCTTATTTCAATAATGAAGAGAGCGGTAAAGATCATTCAGTCGAAAAAATATATATTGCACATGATAACAATGAAGTTGAAAATGCAAGTGAAAACAAATATTTATCCGAAGTAACATCTGATGCCGATTTCGAAAAAAACGATAAAAATCAGCCACAAGAAGCATTAGATTCTAATTCAGTTATTCCTAAAAATAAAAACGATTTGGAAAATGGAAGTGGTAGCACTATGTTAAATGAAATGAAATCTGATTATAATGTTAAAGAAAATGATAAAAGCGGTTCATTTTTACTAGACGCATTAGATTCAAATTCAGAAAAAAGTAAAAATAAAAACCAAGTAGAAGATGATACAGAACTACTGAGTGAACTAAAATCTAATTTAGATAATGAAGTCAAAGAAATTTATACAGTCGACTCAAAAGCACATGCATACAGCAACATAGGAAAAGAAAAAGACGTTGATGTGGAAAATCTAAATCAAAATCAAATTGAATTAAACACCATTCACACTGAAACTGCAAATAATGAAAATGTACAACCGTATGAAGAATTAAATGATATTACAGACAGAAATGTCATTATAACAAAGAATACCGTAAGTAATCAAGGAGGCGAAAACAATATAACTGACTTAATGGATGCAGAAAACGAGGATCTAATATTATCTCCTCAAAATAGCGAACAGAAACAAAGAACTGAGGATATTGCACATACAAGTTTAGATAAACTGACTGAGGAACCTGCAGAAGACGTCAACGAAGAAGATAAAAACAAAAAAGTAAAATTTTCAGATACTGATATGGGTAATAAAGTTTGAATTTCATTTTTAGAAGACACTGATAACCAAGTTGTTTCGAAAAAAGTTAAAATAGGTGGCACTTACTTGGTTGATAAATTAGACCTTCAATACAAACAACACACTCAGGTATAAGCATTATGATTTGCCGCTATGAAAGCCGATGACGGAAAGAACAGTTGCCACAAACGTGCAAAACAAAAGACAAAATTCTATCCTTGAGCGCAGCGATCATTCATAGTTATGTTCCTGCAATATTGTACAACATAAGCAATCTTAGAAGACATAATATATCTTACTTATATAATGATATTTATTATTCAGGTACATTATAGACATACAGGACATATCATAATGCATATGTTAACATTAGAACGAACAGTGAAACTAACAACAATAACTAATAAACATGAAAGAATAATATGAATAATGGAATAAAAATAACATAAGCAAAATAATTTATATAAAAAACATATTTTTTTCTTACTTTAATGTCTTTTTATACAGGATATGGCTTAACTTTGTGTATAGTAGTATTTATTCAAGTTTAGGAACTTTCATTATATCTAAAGGGCTACGCAGTCGTGGTTGCCTTAAGCAACGGTGTGATGGTAAAACTGCAGTATATTACTTTCATGCAAATAATTAATTAATAAAATAAAATTTATTTTATTAAAGCGACAAGTATGTAATCTTTATAATAAACGATGTCATTTGGTTTTTAGATATTAAAAACAAAACACAGCTAATAACTAATTCCAGGTAGTTACTTAATTCAAAGCAAGTTTTCATATTATTATGCAGGCTGTTTGGAAGATGGGTGCAAAGTCTGAAGGGGATGATACCCAAAACCATTTAGAACTTATTAACTAAACTTGTCTAAGACGAAGTCTGCTCCTTTTTTAAATTAAATTTCTAAGGTTTTTAGCAATAAAACCCTTTTTTTTCCAATTGTTTGCGTGTCCAGTGACAGTTGTTGTATATTATTATTTTTATTTATGTTATATTTATGTTGTTGCTTCTTGTAATATTGAAGTTTAAGAAAATAAAAAAAGGAAAATTTATGTTTATTCCATCATAAAAAAATTAAATTGCCTTTGTGTTTAAATATTTTTAAAAACATGCTTGGTTGCCCTTTCTTTTTAACAAACTAATAAAACAACATTTTTTGTTAATATAATTTATTTTTCGTGCTCATAATTTTGACCGTAATTTCTGACACAAACGCGGGCTCGTCTTCCCACTTCTGCGGTCGTAATTTTCATTGTCATCTCCTGCTTCATAACTTCATAACTGCTGAAAAGCAATATGGATTCTTCCTATTAACTCTTCTCTGGTTGATATTTCCAAATGCGTGTGGACGAGCTCCTTGGCCTATCCCCAAACGAAAAAAATCCATAAGAGCTAAATCAGGCGATCGAGGTGGCCAAGGGATGGGCAGTTCTCTGCCGATCCACTTCTCTGGGAAACAATGATTAAAACGTTCTTGCACGTTCAGAGTCCAATGCGCTGGACAACTATCTTGCTGAAATGTCATTAGTTTTCTCGTTGACAATATTGGTATTTCGGCCTCGTCCAGAAGCTCTGGACGATCGTTTTATGAGGAATTCCAGGTAATCGTCTCCATTCAAATTATCTGGCACGATTACTCCTGCCCACACGTTTACTGAAAATTTCCTTTGAAACGACACTTGCTGCTTCCAGTGTGGATGGCTGTCCTTTCCCGCCTATACATGGAGGTTATGAAAGTTGGTAATTCCTTTTTTCGAAAACATTGACTCATCGGTCCACAAGATGGATTTTAAAACTATTCATCTTCAACAGAACTGAATCCTTCGTGGGGGATCTTCATTTTCCAAATCTTGTGGTTGACACCCGTGTCGTGAAAAGGATACTTGTTTTCTCGGTGCACCGTATTCCATACCTTCCGTACCGAAATGTTGAGGTTTTGAGTTACTGCTCTGATGCTCGTAGTAGGATCTGCATCGAAAGCTGCAATAATGTCTTCCTCGACGTTTGGGCCATGTATTCCCGGATTTTCCCAGTTTCGCGTGACGGATTCCAAGTTCAGAAAGCCGACGAAATGTGCTGTAACACACTATGACATTTGGTAATCTTCAATTCGGATATAGCTCTTGGTGCATTCGCCGAGCCAAAGATCGATTACCGTCACCTCTGCCATATATGAAGACAATATCAGCATATTCTTCATTAGTAAAGACAGCCATAGTTGATTGATCACATCTAGGGCTAGACTGAACTTAATAGAAAACCACATCCGTAATAAACACGAATTCGCAAATATAATGTCTAGTCACAAGGGGACTTGGGTTTAGACATTTGTGACTAGACATTATATTATTACTTGACTAACTGAGGGTCCGAAGATGTGACGAGCCCGCCCTACTACTCGAGTACTGGTCCTAATTAGTGTGAATAAATAACGACTATGTGATTTAATAAACTGATTGTTCTATTGAATAAAAGTCTATTCACGAGGCACTTCCTGAGAGTCAAATAGGTCAAGTCTATTTAGGTCGCGCGGCGGCTTTTCTAAACGAGTTCCAGGAAGGCAATCCATGCACATGCAACGTAATTCTAAAAATAAATCAGTTCTAACGAAAAAAATAGTGCGTTAGCATAAATGGTGCATTATATTGGTCCGTATAAAAATTAAAAATATTCGTCCGCAATTTGCTTTCTACGCCCTAATTCAAAGTGTTGATGAGATATCTGCGTAAATAATACCTCAAAAGAAAGAGAAATAACTAAGCATGTTTTTAAAAAAGTTTTAAAACCAAAGTTTTTATGATGGCATGAACACAACATTTCCTTCATTGTTTTAGTTTCTCAAACTTAAATATGCCCAGAATGTTTATCTGGTGATGAATACCTATGCTTGGAAATCATTTTGTTTCAGTAATAACACATTACATAAATAAATAAAAAATAATAATAATAAAATAATAACTGCTACTGGACACTATTAGCAATTAATTGAAAAAAAAAAGTTTTATTATTAAAAACCTAAAATTCAATAAAAAAAAGAGCAGACTTCGTCTAAGAGAAGTTTAGCTCAATACGTTCTAAATGGTTTAAGGTATCATACTTCAGGCTTTGCACCCATCTTCCAAACAGCATATATTACATTACTTTTATTTTTGTTTTTTCCAACAGCCAGATCTTAATGCAAATACCATCTCGTAATGACATAATGGAGAACATCGATTTTGCACCGCCGAACCCTAAGTTACTGTGTATGTTAATTCTTAAAATATGCTATTTTGTATAATTTAAGTTTAATACCTAATTTTTGTACTGTTAATAGCAAACGTTGATGAATCATGGCCAGAAGATATGTCCACACCTACATTTAAGGTTACTGAAAGTGTTAATAAATCAGTAACATCACTAGGGAACATTTTTGAGGCAGATGAAAAGAAAGAACTGTCGCCTGAAAATAGTTACGATTTTACACGAAATTCTGAAATAATAATAAATGACAGACCTTTTACCTCAACGTCCATGAATATTTTCGAAATCGAAAACGTTTCACACGCGCAATTTCATAAAGAGAAAGAGTTTGGAGAAAAGTTCTCGGCAACAATTAAAGATACCAATTTTCAAGCAAATAAAGATCAGAAACAATCTATAGTCGACCGAGAAAAGAAACCAGACACAATAAAAAGTAAGAGATCACTGGTACAAGGAAAATATTCTAAACAACCCAACGATATCAAAACCAATACTAGTTGTGATAAAATTAGGATCGAGAAAAAGCCGCGAAACATAAGTAATAATAAATTAAAAGAAACTGGAAGACTAAATATCCCCAAAAAATATAAATACTTGCCTGAGAAAACCAACGACATAAGTATAAAGGAACCAAATAAAATATACAAACAAAGGAACGATAAACGACGACAAAATTTTACGATAAGAAATTCTAATATAAAAAGGAAATTTAACAATAAAGGAAATGATAATCGTATTGTTAAAAATGCAGTTGATATTGAGATGAATTCAAAGGCTTTAAAAGAACGGAAAGAACTTCAAGATAACCGACCGAAACAAAAGACGAAGGAAAGTCCTAACGCAAATGTTGAATTACTCCAAAAAACATCAATAAATTATGAACGTAAGAATTGTGTCATTCTTAAATAAAATAAAAAAACTTTTATCAATATTATTATACTACTTTATATATGTAATCTTAATGTTTGTTTGCAGATCGGAAACCTAATCCATATTCATGTCAGAATTCAGTCCGTAGAGCTAAAACTTATAATTCACATTTTCAACGAGGTAAAATCGTTATTGATTTATTATTACATATTAAATTACATTAGCAGATATACTATGAGAGTACATCTATCATATAACAATTGTTTATTCAGAGATAGGTCTAAGTGAGGATTGCGGTATTCAAAACTGGTGCAAAAATTTAGAAAGTGTTATCGAAAATTTGGAAATGTGGAACGCTTGGATATATAATGCGTGTAAACGTATTGAATATCTTAGTGAAAAAGGCAGGTATAAATATAAAATTAAAGTTGACTGGAGCGAATGAATTTTAACATATTTATCATTAAAACTCCACAGGAAAAATTAAACACTCACGATCTACAGAAATGGTTAAAATTAAATGGAAAACGTTACATAAATATATAAAAGAAGATATTATTTTATGGAAGGACATACAGCGGCGTAATCGAGATGGTTTAAAAGGCTATAAGAAATATTGCAATAATAAAAAGGTAAATATAGTCACATAAAGTTAAAGACCATTTGCAAATGATGAAAAATTCGAGAATTGGAGTATGAATTGCCACAGAATAAATAATAGTATGTACTACGTAGTGAAGGAAAACATCGTGAGGAAACCTGCATGTCTGAGGAATAAGAAAAAAATATAATATATATTTCGAAGACATGTGAAGTTTGCCAACACGCATTGGGGCAGCGCGGCGGACACTTCCTTGCCCTAAAACCCTCTCAGAAATAAGGGGAGGCCTGTGCCCAGCAATGGGACGTATATAGGCTGTAACTTTACTTTACTAAGTAGTATTACATAACTACGAAATAGCAGAACATGTTATATTTGATTCAAAATATCTACCTACTTCTTTTTACTGTTGCTTATGGACACCAACTCATACAAATAATTAAAATGTAGATTAGACACTTTAAGGCTTTTTTGTCAAAATGTGGACCTTCTCCGGACGAGCCGACCTATTATTATAGAGCATGACACAAGCGCAATGTTAAATTTTTTCATAAAAGTGACGTAAGTAATACTAAGAACATGTCGTAAGTTGAACTTTAAAAAATCATAATTCAGGCGACTTTACTTCTCATTCACTTTATCAACGATTCTTCTTGTACCAATACTTCTTGGCTTATCAATTGGATTTATCTGAATTTTTAGTTGCAAAACTTTGTTTGTGCATTTTTCGTACGTTGTAAAGTCACGCTGCGTATAATATCTGCAGCATGGGTTGACTGAATACCATGTTTTTACTTTGATAAGTAACTGAACAGTCTGTTCTCCTCTGGAATGCACTCAGTCATGAAATTAGATCGGCTAATAATCGTTATGCATTCAAGAAGAAAGTTCGCGAATATTATTTAAATAAACTGGCAGAATAATCTCACTAGTAGCATTTATGTTTTTTATATAATGTATGTAATTTATTATTTTTATGTACATAATATATAATACTATGCATGTATTAAATAATTTTTGATAGGTAAGTTCGTGTATGGGTTTACCTATTATTCAGTTTTTGTATTTATATTCTTTAATTTACGTACCTGTCGTTTAGTGTTTCACACACCTACTTCATATTTTTATTTCTGCATCACCCAAAGGTTGACTGGTAGAGAATGCCTCAGGCATTAAGACCGCCTATACATCATATTGTATGAAGTTTTAATAAATAAATAATATAATGAGGCGTTACTTTGCGGAAATCCATTAAAAATATGTTAATAATTTACTATCTAAGGATCCGCGCAATAAAATTATGTGTCTTACCTAGTTTGAAGAGCACCTCCCGCCCTTGCTTAATTTCGTACTTCTCCGTTCTCGTTGAACCGCGTACAGAAAATTGCGAACGATGTGCTTTTGTTTCTCTTTAATTAAATTGTCATTGATATTTTTGAAAAAAAAAACGTTAGAGACCGCAATTTGATAAATTGCACTAAGTTCTTTTAAATAATTTTCTTTACTTAATGGCACTTAAACAAACAATTAATATACCTAACAATAAAAAGCGGCAAATTTATGTTAAAGCGGGGATGACCGTGTCGGTCCGTGAGTTGGCTTTCGATTTTTTTTTATTAATTTGAAAACTTGAACGTATAATATTGTAACTATGTTTTTTTAGATGGTAAGCCACGCTGCAGCTATATTAATTGTATAGCGGTAGCATGGGTCGGCTCGACCGGGGAAGGACAGCGTTTTCACAGAATACCAGAGTAAAATAGCAGCTTAAATGTTGCTATGTTTTGTATGGTGAATGTAGAGAACCTGAGACCCTTTTTACTGGAAAAGAGGCATTCCATCTTAGTTCTCAGGGCTGACAATGCATCTGCATTTTCATACACAAACGAGAATAGATGTAGATGTCTATGGACCACAGCAACCACTTACCATCAGGTGGACTGTGTGCTCGCTTGTCAGCCTTATCTCATAAAAAATAGTTCAATCTCGACCTTATTTATCTAAGAAAGTCTTTCTTGTTTGCCTTCAAGGAACAGTGCACCCACTGCCATGTTCCGATTTAATCTTTTTGAGAAGCGTTAGAAATAGATAAATACAAGTATAAGCCTATACAAAAAACTCTGGCTTGTAGAATTTAGCATAATTTTTTTGATATTTAGTAAGCAGCTGTCACATAATTAGTGTTTTTTTTTTCTAGATCCATAGAACAACTAATTTCGAAATAAGGTGTAACTGCAGAAACACTTAGAAGAAATACATCAGTTTATTTTTTTAAGTATAGAATATAATACAAAGTTGAAATTTTTTGTTTGATATATTTTATAAAACCTTAATACTACATATATTATTACAAGTCTTGTTTATGAATTACTTATAGTGTACTGATATTTGATTGTAATCATATTTCCTTATATTTCTATCTCTACAAGCTGTCAAAATCCATTTTCCATTAAATGCTATATCTCTTATACCATCACAATCAGAGCCTGTTAGATGTACTCTTACTGCATTGTATGCTTCTTGCATTGAATAAACTGTACAGGTTCCATCTTGTCTTCCTACTACAAACATTTGATTAGCAAGTGTTGCCATACTCATAATTGGGTTGGCAGATTCATGCAACCCTTTTAGTACTGAACCATCTTGGACGTTAAGGTAAACAATCTGGAAAAAATAAAAAAAAATCAACAAAAGAAACACTTGGAAAAAATTGATATTTCTATCCACACGCCTTTTTAACACCCGACAATCAATAACGCTAATGAATTATTGACTGATACTGCAACCAAGTTACCAATTAGACAGATATTAGATTACCTAATTCTTCAACCACTTACAGGTGAGGTATTTTTTAAGTATAATTTACTGTGGTGTGGAATTGTGGTGGCGACGTAAGAGAATCCAACAACCCATTTCATCCCGTGGTTGTCGTAAGAGGCGACTATGGGATATGTCAAAAGATGTCATGGCTTCCGATAGATGGCGACATAACCAAAAATATAAATTTAAATATTACTTCAATAGAACCTTCGATCAACAATACCAACTAGATGTCGGGTCGGCGCAAGAAATCCATTTCAGTAAATAAGAGCGCACATGAGATGTGAGCTCTTGCACGTGAGTGTAGCTCGCAAAGCAATAACGGGAAAAAGAACTTTATTTGTTATAACTTAAGGTTGATTTCACACTAAATGTTATTTAATTTATGTCTTTTCATAGTTTATATTCATGCGGACAGTATTTAGCTATGATTTTGTACGTGAACCGTTATCTAGTTGGTATTGTTGATCGAAGAATAGAACCAATGACCTGAACACGAACGAACAACTCTTTTTTTTTCACATTTCTTGATTCCGTTAAGATCTTCAAAAAACTTAAGGCTAATTATAATAATTTATTAGTTGGTATATTATATATTAATTTAATAATTAGTATCTTTTTTAAGCGGGCCCAAAAACGATTGTCTCCTTTTACGTGCTGACTTATCACGTGCCCGGTGAAGTGGTTAACAATAACTTCGTGGGGAAACCTAGATGTCCGAGTAGTTAAAAGGTTACGTCAGTCGCAAACTAGACAGGAAACGGGCCGCAGTGTTAAAGGTGCGAGACGTCCGGTACTGCGATAGCCAATACGCCTGCCAAGCTTGAACATTAAGGCAAATCCTTCCCGCATGTGTCCAGCAGTGGACCTTTACGGAACGATAAAAGAGTAAGAATGTACTGTTATATTGAAGAAGTTGGGAGTAAAATTCAAAAGCCAAATTTTTCTCTTTTTTACCCGACTGTAGTGGGTAATGTGTTTATTAGTCTATGTTTGTTTACTAATAATTAGTAAGCTGAAGTGGCAATGGGCCGGCCATATAGCTCGAAGAACCGATAGATGCAGGTGGCTCAGGACCGTGCTTTGTGGCGTCACTTGGGGGAGGCCTATGTTCAGCAATGGACTTGTGAAGAGCTGTAATGATGATGATGATGATGAAATGTATTATGGATATTACTAGTAATTGATTACGTAGTCGTGTTTCTAAAATAGTATTAATATACTATAAAAAACATTGCTTGTCAAAAATGTCTAACGAGGCTTATCAAGTAAACTAATAAATAGGTTTATATCTAATGATTAATGATCTAATGATGTTATATTTACGTGAATATTACTCATCAATTGAAACTAATTTATTTTTTTTATCGTGTTTAATGTTAATTTTTAATTTCCGCTTTTCCCCGACATTCTTTCAAAGACACTGAAAGTTCGTTCTGCGTAGATCGAACCAAAAATGAATGTTCAAAGGCTGAAGGTAATTGGACTAAAACGTCAGGAATTAAAAAATAAAAGTTGAACACGATGACATTCGTAAAATTATTTTCATATAGGGTTTATATCTTTTTGTAACAAAGAGAACCAAAATTTTACAGACATAAAATGGAAGCAGTGGCGAAGCTTGGGCTCCAAACTAGGGCAAGCCCAAGATATGGTTTCGTTGTTTTAGCAGTTTTATAAAAATACACCAATTTTGATCTGTCTCCACGCTTCAGTTTCATATTCAGCTCTGTCGAGGACGTGTTTAACAAAGCACACAGAAGGCATACTACCGCTAGATAGGTTGTATGACCGTAGAATCAATCAATTTTCGTTCGATAAAATGACCACCTATAGAATTAAGTAGATGGCGCTATTAAAATTTTATATACTAAAGACTAAAGGAAATATTTTTTAAAAACCTCAATACTTGATGTATTCATTTAATTTATTAAATTAAAATTTGGGCTTCACGTTAAAAAAAAGATTGTAACAATTATTTGCTATAAAATTAAATACCTAGGTATCTCATATTTTATGCTGCAGTTCAAAATGATGTTTTTAACTCATATGGTAATATAAGTATTGAGTTATTAAACCTTTAAATACGCCTAGAATAATTAAACTTTAATACTAAAGAGCCCTGTAACTATTAAAGTGTGATGAAACGTTTATTGAATTAAAATTTTATTTTTAAAGATTTCACCGTTTCCTCGCTGATTAGCACTTTACACACTTATATTCATCACAAAGAACACTCTTTTCCTATATTTTCACTAAACATCTTTAAAAAAGTATAAATTTTTAACTCACAATATTTTACATAATAATATATTCGCTCAAGCTAACACACAATGTAAACATTGAAATGTGACGTGAACTTGCAAACATATAGTCGGCGTCGCCCGCGCTCCTCCATGTCTCGACTAACTTCATACCTAACGTGACCATACGTCCCCCTTTAGGCAGGACGTTCCCGATTTAAAGGTTTGTGTCCTACTGTCCCCAAAATACGTAAAAATGTCCAGCTTTGACAAACAAAAGCGTGACAATCCTGCAAACTCTGTCACCCGTGCCATCATTGTATGAGGTTTGCCAGCATGGCTTGTATAGTTATGTGATTATTCTGAAAAGATACACTTTTGAATTTAAAGTTACGAAGTGACAATTTTTAATTAATCTACAATAAATTATCAAATAACGTAAGTTATTTCGAATTAGTATTTATTTGATGTTCATAATTCACTTTAGATCATTAAAAGATTCAAACAACTATGTGTGTATCTGGATTATATTGCCCAAGTGTAATACTACTGCTACTGAGAATTTTGTGACCGGAAAACCCAATAAATGATTCTTGACTCGACTCAGGTTTCGAACTTGGGACCACATGATCAGCAATTGCGTTTACGACCATTAGACCAAGAAGGCAGTCAAAAGTGTCAAAACTATAATAATTTTAAAGGCATCCAGCTCTGAGGAAAAAATTGATTGTCACTAAAAAGCCGGTAAGCATACTAATTGCTATTTATACAATCGTAGTTATGTTTCATTATAGAACATTTTGCCACAGGTTAGAAAGGGAGCGATCGCCTTCTCGAAAGCCCGGTAAAAAGCCCACGTGTGCGAGGGAGACAACCAATGGCTCAATTCAACTCTCCTTATATGTATGACAGCAGTATTCCTAAGGCTACGAGGTCGCACAGAGCGTGCGGGAAATTTGAAATAGTTTGAAACAGTTTACGAGTTATTTTATTACTTGATATTATTGATTGATTCAGCTTGATAAGGCAAGCCGGGCTTCTGGGCTTGTATGGAGGCTTCGCCACTGAATGGAAGGCAGTATTATTCTCGGCCATCGACGCCAATATGGAATTATTTAGCGTAACCGACTCAACCTAGTGAGATACCTTTTTTGGCACTTAAAGACTATGTCTCGTCTTACAGTTTGACTTTTTCGTTTTGTGAAAAAGTTAATTATAAAATAATTATGATAGGAATAAATAGATACATTTGGCATTAATTTCAAATACATAATAATTACCTTTCCATCACTACAGCCAGCAATGATGGTTTGATCAATAACTATGCAGGCATTTATAGCAGAATCCAGCTGCTTCTGGTGAACAATTTCCCTTTTGGCTACATGAGCACAAATAACTAAACCACTTTCGCAGCCCACAACTAGTAACTTGTTGCCCGTACCTATCTAAAAAAAACATAAGTCAATTTTTGATAATTTTAAAATAAATAATACATAGTGTTTAAAGAGCATTGTTTTCAAAAAACATAGGACATGTATAAATCGCGGAACGTAACTCTAGCGCTGCACGAAACGTGGAGGGGATGGCTGCCAATGTCGTATCAGTACGGGAGACGGAATGCAACTGGAGAGCCAATCAGAGCGTTCCAGCGATTCGCACAGCCAATCATACGCAATAATGTGCAATACGGCTAATTATGCGCAATAACAGTCAACGCTAGACTTTCGTGCCGCGAGTTGTACCAAAGGAAAATAATGGACACTAATACAAATTTCAAAGAGAATAACAAATAATTTTATAAGTGGTAGAGCCACACTAAGGATGTTATGGTTGTAGCACGAATAGTCGGGTTGAACGGGGAAAAACCACTCTCGCAGAATACCAGCGTAAAATAGCAGCTTAATTCTATGTTTTGTATGATGAGATTGGAAAACTAGATACACTTTTTACTGGAAATTGCATCATAATCCTCAGGGTTGACAACGCATCTATATCTTAATTCTTAAACGTGGATAGATGAAGATGTCTATAAGCCACAGCATCCACTTACCAACATGTGGACCACATGCTCGTAGATGGCCTCTATCATTCTTTAATTATCATTACTTATCACACTATAAGCCGTGGTAGCTCAGGGTCAAGAGCCGTGGTAGCTGAGGGCTTAAGAGCACGCTGTAAATTTCAC